TTATTTTTATTTGACAAAGTTTTTAACGTTTAAAGTTTGTATCTTTGATTTATTAATATTAAAATATGTTTAATTTCTTGTTTTTATATGATAATATATGGCGCGACTTTTCATGTAACCGTCAGGCTAAACAGCTGGTTCATCCCTATAGTTATGTTAGTTAGTTCTTCAGCAGAACAGAGTTCAGGTTGCTGGTGGTATATTTAACGGGTCACCATTGACTGCGTTATCACCTTAACACAATGGGTCTGTTCGAAGAGATAGATTGTCGACTTTGCTTAGAAACAGACGAAACTTTCAGTCACATTCTCTGTGACTGCCCAGCCTTGATCCTCTGACATTAGGAGGTCATCAACGGCTGATATACCGGCTTTCATTCGGAATGCAGTATATCTTCTGTTGGGTTAGGGTCTGTTGCAACATAAAAGATTAACTATAGTTGGAGTGTTCCGCTTCGTTGGAAGCTGGTACCTTGTTTATTTCTATACTATTCTATGGTACTATATTAAAAGCCAAAGACAGTCCAAATAGTGTCTTGTTTAAATGAATAACAAAAACGTTTAGAAATGTTTACTTTAAATAAATCTAAACTAATTTTTATCAAGTACCTTCTGTTTCTATTAAGTACCTTCTATTAAGTACTGACACTCGAAGATTTAAAATTATATATTAAATCGCTGTAAAATTTGCAGTGAAATATTAACTCATTTTCTTTGTTTGTATCCAACGATTTTCAGGAAACATGTTTAATAGCTTCATTTGGTTTTAATAGAACTAAAGAAATCGATAAATCTAAAGCAAATAATAGGGTTTATTAATAGACATATATTAAAAATAGTATATCATGTCTTTACTGCCTAGTTTATTATAATAAATAGTTAATCATGATAAATCGCATTTGGTATATTGTATTAATAAGTTCATAAGTTTAGATTAATTAGTTTATATAATGATGTTAAGGATTTTAATATGATAAAGTGTTGTATGTATATGCAAGTATGAATGTAACTAAATTTGTGATAAAAACATTTGCAATATTTGATTTAATTACTTCGGTAAATGATATTGAGAATTTTATTGTAATATACTAGAGTGTGGGCATAACCATGTATGAATGTAACTAAATATTTAATTGAGTAGTAATATAATACACTGTTACTGCTATTTTACTGCTATTATTATTGATGTAATGTTTTTATTAATACATGTAAAATAAGTAAGCATTAGCTTTGCTAGAACATAAATTTTTTAAATTTATTTAAATAATTAATGTGTAAACTACATTTTAATTTAATTTATTTAATAAAAATTTACTTATTTTTTGCAAGATTTGCAAAGCAATAAATTACTTTGTAACACCAAATATAAAATAATAATAGTACTAAGAAATTATTATTTAAAGAAATAGCAACAAAGAAATAAGTGCTCTTTGTAGTGCCAAAAATTAACCTTAATTATTAAATTATTTTTAGTTCAGTTTTTCACAAATTTGATTTATTTTTTCCTTTGTTTTTTTTTTCTCTTTATAAATATGTTTTATTTATTTTTATTATAATACAAAGAATATTAATTATATTTTATTTATTATTATTTTGTTTAATATCCATAAATCCATTTTCATTATTTGACTTAATTACTTCAATCTCTCTTTACACGCATCGGATTACATCATCTACAGACCACGCATGGGGTTGTGAGTAGGATTTCTTTTCAATATTTTATACTAGTAAATGAATTGACATAATGGAACCTTTTGAATATAATAAATTTTCTATAATATTAAATTATCTTTTTCTCTTTTTTTTTTTTTGAATAGTTTTAAGGAATCAAAATCTGGAAACAGTTCTCACATGACTTTTGGACATTTCCACAGATATCCCGACTTAAAGAATTCGTGTGAAGTGTAGAGTCCAGTCATGCAAGTTAAACTCGTTATTTTTGTTTTAAAATAAACGTGAGGCGAGTGGCTACTTTATTTATTGACATTCCACGTACCCGCGTACCCTCCTGAATTCTTTTGAAAAGTCCAAAAAGTCGCTCCTACGCTAATTCAGCAATTAATAAAATTTAGCACGATTTTAAGTTGTTTTTGCATTTTTTTTATTGGTTTATATTTTCTTAAGTATTATTTGTATATGAAAAAAAATATTTTTATTAAAGCAAAAAAAAAAAAAATTTGTTTAATGAAAAATATTCAAAAAAATATTCATGGAATGGAATTAAACAAAAAATCAAAAAAAAAAATTAAAATAAAAAAAACTTATATGTGGAAGCACAAGTTAAGCTTTGCACTTGTATTTAACGCTGCTCACTTTACGTAACATGTTGGTGGCGCCAAAATTATTACCATTTTAATGGACGACGCTGACGTCGTCAAGTATGAAGTCAGTGTGCCGTGCCGCCATGCCGCACTTATTCCACAAGTAAATACTCAACTTAATTTCTTATTAACGTACGGACATACGGACATACGGACATACGGACGTACGTACGTACGTACTAACAACGTACAGAACAGTTGACTTTTTTATGGCAAATAAACATGGCGAACCCACATAAACTTGTCGACATCAGTGGATACGGCCGCTTCGACGGCATCGCATCATCGTAATGAATGGCGGGCGCGAAAAGTTGTACATTTTAAGAAATAAAACCATTTGAGAAACAAATTAGCGCCACGTCCGGCGAAGGCGACAAATTGACGCCGCCAACAGCAAAGCAGACACTTTTACATTTTTATTTGCTAAAATATATTTATTTACATAAAATTTTTACAAACTAATATATATCTTAGTATAAAGTTTTACACAAAATATATTCACATAGTTATACATATGCCTTAATCGGATTTATAGCCTATTAAATATAAAGTATAATCTACATTGCTTACAAAATGGGTTTTCAGTTATGTCGTTAATTAAATCAAAGTTGGTCTGGGAATGCTTTCAACTTCGCAATACTCTAGCATCGAGGAACTATGTTACTCTTATGTGGGTACCGGGACACGAAGGGCATGAGGGCAATGAAATAGCTGATTCCCTAGCAAATAAGGGTGCATGTACTCCTTTCATTGGTCCAGAGCTTTTCTGCGGGGTAACAAATAGCTTTTGAAATAATTTACTAGGTGAACGGGAGAAATAACATCTGCTATCCTTGGCCTTAGCAGAAACGATATTAAAATGTACACTGCACTTCTTACAGAACATTTAATAGACTTAATTACCACATGAAGGATTATAGGTGCGGTAGAAAGTGACTCTTGTCGACTCTGTCATGAGGAGAAGGAAACATCAGAACACATTCTATGTAACTGCCCAGCGGCGGCAAGACGTAGACTCGACTACTTTGGAAGCGGGATCTTAGTCCCAAATCAAATAGATAAAATTAAGCCCACAGCAATTGCAAGATTTATAAATAGTCTAGAATTGTCTCAGTTGGGCCTTTAGGCGCACAATAGATATATTAAGTCGGGGTAATGTCGTTAATTATATACATACATACATACATATCTTACTATGCTGCGCCATTTAAAAGAATTTTATGGAGTTTGGAAAAGATTTCAAACTAATTGAGAATTATAATTCATGTTCATATCAAAACTAAATCAAATGAACAAAGCATTTGGGTATTTTTAAATTGATCTTAGCTCAACATAATTAATGTGAAATCACATTAATGGCGATCAGCTTGCTAAACACATATAACAACAGATTTAAACACTTCAACGCCCTCCACAGACCAACCCTGCCTTTCTTTATCTTCATAATGCCTACATAAGTCAGTTATAAGAAAAACTATAATAACTATTAAACTAATCAATAATCGTGCATTTTAAATTTGCTTTCTATATGCATATATATGAAATTTCATTTAAATAAAATGAGAATTATAATCTGTTGAACTCTCTCTCCATGCATAACAATATAAATTTACTTGTTCAGAATAGTCTATTGATTTTTACAAACTTATAGGAAAAATCTGTATAACTAAAATACATAATTTATAATATAATTTTTCGAAATAAAATAGAACATTTCAGATATTTACAAATCAATTGTTATAAAAATAATTTCAATTTTATCTTTACGAAGCGAATATAACAATATACCAATAGTTTACATTTTTATTTGTATACTTTTCTAATATAATCAAAGCATTACCTTAAATGCTTATAACGTTGGGTAGACCACTTATCACAATATTTACACTGCAAAAAAAATTACAAATATTTTACAAAATCAAATGCAATTTTAATCACATAATTAACTTTATAATCCTTTACAAAGATATCATTTTCATGTCTTTCATATTTTCATATCTTCTAAATTATAATTGAAGATTGGTTTCCAATCTCCAATCTGCGTTTCCAACTTAATCTAACAATTTACCTAAACATGGAATTACAATTTATCATAATCAGCTTCAAAAGTCGTAGGTATCCTTGTTATCATACGAAAATTAGTGCAGTCATTTTATTATCGAGCTGTTATTTCTATCTAAACTGACTGAGAATTATAATTTGTATAACCAAATAATCTAACACATATGTTCATTTATCACAAATGTATGTCTTTTGCAAGAATGGTTAACAATGTTTTCCATTCGATGTAACAAAGTAAAATAAATTACTATAGATTGATTGTTAACTCTTATTATTAATGTTACTAGAATAGTTTATTTATATTTATTTATATTCAATAATGTATCCAATTGAGTCATAATATAGGTGTCTATTGCAAACATTTATTTTTATATTATGGATGTATGTACATATGTTCGTGTTCCTAATACTGATTTTATTAAAAAAAAAAATCTTAAATTTATTTTTATTAAATATATTAAGCTTACTCATATATCTTTAAAAAAAATACAAATAACTTATCCAAAGTATTTCTAATTAATATTTAAAGATTATTTTATAAAAATCTTGATTTATATAGTAAGAACCACACCTCTTAATCCAATTTAATTTTGATCCCTTTTTTTTCTTCTCTTTTTAGGTCAAAATGCTTGTCCATTGATTTGGTGTCAAGTAGCTTATTGGGAGATGTCACAACGTGTTGGTGATCGTTATTTAGCGAAGAAGTCATCTGTTAACATCTATTCTGATGATCCGTGCAAAGGTGACAGTAATGATGATATGTGTTTAAACGAATTAGCCAAACAAAGAAGAACGCCATCGCCCGACAACGTGAAAAAAATAAGACTTAAGATTGGTTTAGGTATGAAACTTTTTAAATTGATTTAAGTATTATTTTTTGTTTTTATGAAATACAAAATTATTTATACTATTTAGCACATTTTTTATAACAATTTTTAGATAAAATCCTTCATATACTTATATATATAAAGTTTAGTAACAGTTTAAGAATTCTTAAAATAATAAAATAAATTTTTTTTAAGCATTGTATATAAACGTTAATCAAGAAATGTGTTTGTTTAGAAAAGTGATCTGCTCAATATATATTTCTAGATTATACTAATTTAGATTTTCACGTCGATCCTGATATTTATATACTTATATGTACATCATAGCTATATACTTATGAACTTCAAAAAAATTCCAGGCGTCCTCTTCCGTTTATGCATTAATGCCGAGCATTCTCACAGCACATGTGTGGCTAACTCCTCATTCTCTTCGCAGAATCTATAGTTTGCATCCGTACATATATCCAGTTTTGTAAGAAGGTATTTTAATTTATAGTACCCTGTTACGATTCCTATAATGATTCCAAGTTTTTCATTTGATAAGTCCATACACTCCTGGATATATCTTATTGTTATAGGTATGAATAAGAAATTTGGATTGTGTTAATCCTGGTATATTATTTCAGTAATAATTTTTGTTCTGGTTCTACTTTATCTCTATGAGAGAAAGTAGTGCCTTATGTCCTAATCCACAGAAACGTTCGGGCCTCACCATCGGTGTGGCTTATCTAATGTAAAGATATCCAGCTTTGGCAAGAGTAGGGCCAAGAGTTCTTGAGAAATCCAGTTTTTTTACAATCACTGAAAACAATCAAAAACGATATCGTAGGTCTCATAAAAGTATCAAAGCAAATAAATTCATTAAAGTCTTGTAAGTCGGTCTTGAATCATTAATACGCGTTACTACAGAAACTGCGTATAGAAGAAGAGCAAAATTGTAATGAACGAACCTAGATCTACATAGATTCACTCTTTAATTTACCTTTATTTGGCACAATTAAAATGTTTCTATAGCTAGATCTGAATTATTTTATTATAATATATCAAATATGTTCCGTTAAGATAGTAATAAATAAATAAATGTAGTTTTTCATTCTGAATATTCTCTTATATTCCAGGTGTAACATTAAGTTAAGGAAAATGGCAGCATTTGGTTGTATAATCGTTCAATGTTACCAATATTTGTAAATTCTCCAACCTTAAGCGAAAATTGGCATTGTGTTTGTAAAATATTGCCTGGGTACTGCCTTAAAGCCTTCGACAGTGAAAGGTATGTGCATTGTGTTCTCAAATCTGATTGAAAATAAAATGTTTTAACTATAAATTATTTGTATTTCAGGGCTCAAACACTTAAATATCCCTCGCATTTTCCTGGTGCTCAATTAGGACCTAAGGATCCATACGGTATGCAAATAAGTTTTGGCAAAGGTTGGGGTGATAAATACAAACGTCAGGATGTAACAAACTGCCCATGTTGGTTCGAGGTATTATTACCAACGCAACGGTGACAAAAACTAATTAACATGAATGGAGGCCAGAATAAATGTGGCAAGGATACTGAAACTCAAATAGCAATTGATAATGTCTGTGATGATAATTGTATGTACAAGTTAAGTACGCTTGAGCATAGCTACGCAACCCAGTGGAGTGCTGCTGACTCCAATTGTCTAACTAATGTTAATGTGAAAGAAGATAGACGATATAAATGTACAACATCAACAACCAATATAAGCATTGGACAACTTAATGAAATTAGCGAAAAAGAAACAGGCACGAAAGAAATGAGAAAATCAGAAAGAAAATGGTCACAATTAATTACCTGTAATCGACCATTTATGGAAAAATTAAAATATTACTATAGAAAGACAGGCATGACAAGACATAGAAAATCATAAACATTCGTCAAAATAATAAAAATATGTTGGAAATAATCAGAACAACAATATGATAGCAACAATATCCACAGTAACAACAAAAAAACAAAATGGAAACACAAAGACGTAAAACTGCATAAACAAAAATAGTAAATTGCCAACCAAAAACGAAAATTGGCATTGTAAACGGAAAACAGCATCGAAAATAAATTAACCTTAAACGAAAAAGGTATGAACATAGAGTTTAAATATGATTGAAAATAAAAGTTTTAATTAAATTTTTGTATTTCAGGGTAACACTTAAATATCACTCGCATTTTCCTGGTGCTCAATTAACAAAAGGAGAAATACCGTATGAAATAACATTCAACAAAACACAAAACAAAAAACACAAACATCAGGATGTAACAAACTGACCATATTGATTAAAGATATTAAGACCAAAGAAACGCTGACAAAAACTAATTAACATGAACGGAGGCCAAATAAATTGAAGAATACTGAAACACAAATAAAAATTGAAATTTGAAATGATAATTGGAGATACAAGTATAGATTGACATAGCTAGCAACACATGGATCTACTAACTCAACTGTTAACAAATGTTAATGTGAAAGAAGACAGAGATATAAATGTAAAACATCAAAACAAACGTAAATGAAATATACTTGTGATGAAGATCTTAAATTTTTATAATAATATATTGTTGAGATCTTGCCATTAGGTGTGAAACACAACATCATTAAAATGCCCCCTCGGGAGATATTGTACTAACAAATACTTTTAAAGTAATTTTTCAAGACTTGTCGGCATATAGCTAGCAATATCTTAACCGAACTGATGTTTAATTGCAGAACTTCGAGGATTGTTCACATAAACACTATTATTTGAGTAACAGAAAAATAATGCCTAGTGATGACTGAATGCATAAGTAAAACTAAACATATATTATACGTTTATGTTGACATATATCATTATAACAAATGAAGACCACGAAATAGGAAAACCCTTTAATAAGGCTTAATTAGTTTGCATATACCTATCGAACGTATATAGCAGAACATAGAAGTAATTTGTTAGAACAGACTACATATAAAGCAAAACAGCAAAAAAGCGCAAACATACGATTTCAATCCGATCACCAAATACTTCGCACACAAATAAATGCAATAGCATTCCTTAATGGTTGTACTGTAAACAAACGTCAAGCAATAAAATTCAATTGGTTTTCACCAAACCAAAAGACGCTATAGCAGTTCAGGATATATAATTAAATCTTCCCCTTTAGTTTTCTTATTGATACTAATTCTCAATTACTATTATTTTTGTATGGACATAAAAATAATTTATAAAATTTTTTTTAATAATTTTTGAAAGGTGTTATATACATATATATATATAACTTTATCCTTTGGCTAGTAAAACAATCAAAATTCAATAT